CCGGTTCACTAGTACACTGTAATAAAAGTTATTGGGGCCATTATTAGGTAAAATAAAGGTCACTTAAAAACAAGCACTGCAGCCGAAACCGGTTTGGCTCAGTGGATAGAGCGTCGGCCTGCGGACTGAAAGGTCCCAGGTTTGATTCCGGTCAAGGGCATGTACCTGGGTTGCGGGCACATCCCCAGTAGGAGATGTGCAGGAGGCAGCTGATCGATGTTTCTCTCTCATTGATGTTTCTAACTCTCTATCTCTCTCTCTTCCTCTCTGTAAAAAAATCAATAAAATATATTTTAAAAAAACACACACAAAAAAAAAACAAGCACTGCAATACTGCAACAGACAATCTAATAACTGAGACAGCTACTAAGTGACTGACAGTTGGATATTATATATAGTACTAGAGGCCCGGTGCACAAAAATTTGTGCACTCGGGGGGAAGGGGAGGGTCCCTCAGCCCGGCCTGTGCCCTCTCGCAGTCTGGGACCCCTCAGGAGATAATGACCTGTTGGCTTAGGCCTGCTCCCAGGTGGCAGAGGGCAGGCCCAATCCCTAGGTGCAGCCCCTGGTCGGGCTCAGAGCAGGGCCGATTGGGGAGTTGGGGTGCCGCCCCCTGTCATGCACAGAGCAGGGCGGATTGGGAGGTTGCGATGCCACCCTCAGTCACGCTCAGGGTAGGGCTGATTGCGGGGTTGGGGCACTGCGCCCTGTCACACTCAAGGCAGGGTCGATGGGCAGGTTGCGGCGCCACCCCCTGTCACGCACAGAGCAGGGCCAATCAGGGGGTTGAGGCGCTGCCCCCTGTCACACACAGAGCAGGGCCCATCAGGGGGGTTGGGGCACTGCCCCCTGTCACACACAGAGCAGGGCCCATCAGGGGGGGTTGGGGCACCGCTCCCTGTCACACTCAAGGCAGAGTCGATGGGCAGGTTGCGGCGCCACCGCCTGTCACACACAGAGCAGGGCCCATCAGGGGGGTTGGGGTACTGCCCCCTGTCACATACAGAGCAGGGTCGATCAGGGGGTTGGGGAGCTCCCCCTGTCACGCACAGAGCAGGGCCAATCAGGGGGTTGGGGAGCTCCCCCCTGTCACTCACAGAGTAGGCCCGATAGGGGAGTTGGGGCACTGCCCCGTCACACACAGAGCAGGGCCGATCAGGGGGTTGGGAACGCTGCCACTGTCACACTCAGGGCAGGGCCGATGGGGAGGTTATGGCTCTACCCCGTCACACACAGAGCAGGGCCCGTGGAGGGGGGGGGGAGGGGTTGGGGCGCTGCACCCTGTCACACACAGAGCAGGGCCGATTAGGGGGTTGGGGCACCACAGCCTGTCACACACAGAGCCATAGGGCAATCAGGGGGTTGGGGAGCTCCCCCCTATCAGGCACAGAGCAGGGCTGATCAGGGAGTTGGGGCGCCTTCCCCTGTCACGAACAGAGCAGGGCCGATAGGGAGGTTGTGGTCCCGCCCCCTGTCACACACAGAGCCACAGGGCAATCAGGGGGTTTGGGTGCTGCCCCGTCATGCTGATCCCGGTGCTGGGAGGCATATTACCTTTTTACTATATAAGATAGAGGCCTGGTGCATGGGTGGGGGCCGGCTGGTTTGCCCTGAAGGGTGTCCTGGATCAGGGTGGGGGTCCCCACTGGGGTGCCTGGCCAGCCTGGGTGAGGGGATGATGGCTGTTTGCAGCTGGTCACACACCCTTCAGGGTGTGCCTGGCCAGTCTGTGTGAGGGGCTGAGGGCTGTTTTCAGGTTGGCGGGTGACTGAAGCTCCCAACTGCTCCTTTTTTCTTTTTTTTTTTACTCTGGGCCAGCTTTAGCTCTGAGGCTCCAGCTCTTAGGCCTCCGCTGCTGAAAGCAGGTTTCTGGCCTTTGTTTACCTTCTGTATTTAAAACAATGTTTCGATCCTGCTGGCTGAAGCCCAGCGACTAAAGCAGGTTTCTGGGGTTTTGTTTAGCTTCTATATTTGTAACATAGTTGCTTAGAGTTGCAACTCAGAGGCCGGCAGCGGCAGGCGGGAACGATGGAGTCCTCCGTCACTGAAGCAAGCAAGCCTCATGTTAGTTTCAAGCTGCCTGGCTGCCGGCCTCCATCTTGGCTGGCAGTTAATTTGCATATTGCCCTGATTAGCCAATGGGAAGGGTAGCAGTCATACGCTAATTACCATGTTTCTCTTTTATTAGATAGGACTAGAGGCCCTCGCACCCCGGCTTCATCCAGAAGGTCATCCGGAAGGATGTCTGGTCTAATTAGCATATTATGCTTTTATTATTATAGACTAGAGGCCCGGTGCACAAAATTCATGCATGGGGGGCAGGGGTGTCCCTCAGCCCAGCCTGCACCCTCTCCAATCTGGGACCCCTCAGGGGATGTTCAACTGCTGGCAGTCAGACATCCCTCTCACAATCTGCGACCACTGGCTCCTTACCACTCACCTCTCTACCTGCCTGATTGCCCCTAACCCCTCTGCCTGCCTGCCTGATCACCCCTAACCCTTCTGCCTACCAGCCTGATTGCCCCTACATTGCCCCATGCCAGCCCAATCACTCCTACCTTGCCCCCCTGCCAGCCTGATTGCCCTTACCTTGCCCTCCCCTGCAGGCCTGATCGTCCAAACTGCCCTCCCCTGCTGGCCTGATCGCCTCTAACTGCCTCTGCCTCAGCCCCCAGTCTGGTCTCCCTCTGCGGGAGGCGACCTGGCAGATCAGGGGAAGGCACCACCCCCATTACCCCGCTGCTGCTGCCACTGCTGGCCTGAGCCTCGGCCCTTGCAGCCGCTGCGGCTGTCTGGAAGGACGTCCGGAAGACATCCACTCTAATTAGCATATTCCCCTTTTATTAGTATAGATTTGGGGACCATTACAACAACACAGAACTTAAAACACATGGAGAGAGCATTGGCCTGTGGACTGAAGGGTCCCAGGTTTGATTCTGATCAGGGGCACATGCCTGGGTTGCGGCTCGATCCCCAGTAGGGGGCCTGCAGGAGGCAGCTGATCAGTGATTCTTATCATTGATGTTTCTATCTCCCTCTCCCTCTCCCTTCCTCTCTGAAATCAATACAAAAATATTAAAACAAAAAACAAAAAACACATGATCTTCACTTTGGGCTTTGTTATTTTACAATATCCTTTGTGCAGTATTTTAACTTCCCTCAACTTTCCTTTACCCACTCTTAAAATGCAATCTATTTTGGGGAAGATGATCAGGAAAGTGATTCTAGTGGTTAGAAGTTTTTTTTTTTGGAGGGGATGGGGTCGTGAAGATATTTAAAAATTGAGCATGGTGATGGTTGTGCCACTCTGAATTTACTTTAAAAAAAAAACAGTTCATTGTACACTTTAGGTGGCATGTACAGTATATGAATTATATCTCAAAAAAGCTGTTCTTTTATTTCTTTTTAAATAAAGACCAGCCTTATAATCAATTGCAGATGCTTTTAGAGCCCCCTCAGGATTTGCTTACTGCGTCCCAAACCACGGCTGCAAGTCCCAGTTGCCTCCAGTCCTGGCGGATCTGCATGGTGTGGTTTGCAAAGGAGAAGGTGGCAAGAGGCTTATGGAATTTCTGCAACCCCTGATAGGGCACCAGGGCCATTTCCACTGTGCCAGCCTTCTGCTTCCTTTAACCTGTTGGGCAAAAGAATCCTGCATGCTCTGGCCAGAAAGTGCATTCTCTCTTAGGTGGCCCGATTGCTTTTTTTAAGGTTGTTTTATGGATTCAAAAGAATAAACAGAGATGTGGAAAGCTTTAGTCAAATTCCTTTTACATGGTTCTTCCAGTCTCGTGGGAAGTGAGATGTGGCTCTGTATTCATCCCAAAGGGTGTCTTTGGTCAACAGCACCCAGAACAGCACAACTCCTGCAGGATGCCCTACACACTTCGCTGTCAGGACTCAGGGGGGCTTGAGGGTGAGCGAGGCAGTAGTGCCAGCACAGGGCCCAGGAGAAGATAGAGCTTTCTACACTGCCCAGGCCCACGTGGACTGCAGTTGTACCTGCCGAGGTGGGCAGGGTGTTCCTGCTGTTTTGTTTTGGCCTGTGGACTGAAGGGACACCCAGTCAGCCACGGACCTGTGCCTGCACTGAGACTGTAAGCGGTTCGATGGTCCTACTTTTGGTGGACAGTGGATGCACTCCCACCTCCCAGAGACTGGCAGTTAGACACTGGCGGCTTCCGAGTCGCTTGCTGGGAGAGCGCGGCCCTAGGTCCAGAACAGACTTGGGTGTCCTTGGCCAGGAGGCCTCCTAGGGGTAGGGGCCACCGCAGTTTGAAGGCCAGCCACGCCCCTAATCAAGGCGGGGTCTAGTTGCCTGTCGGGTCATGATGGCCCTAGTCCAGCAGTGAGCAAACTACGGCCCACGGGCCGGATCCTGTCCGTTTGAAATGAATAAAACTAAAAAAAAAAAGACCGTACCCTTTTATGTAATAATGTTTACTTTGAATTTATATTAGTTCACACAAACACTCCATCCATGCTTTTGTTCCAGCCCTCTGATCCAGTTTAAGAACCCACTGTGGCCCTCGAGTCAAAAAGTCTGCCCACCCCTGCCCTAGTCTCTTACTAGTATAGATCAGCGGTTCTCAACCTGTGGGTCGCGACCCCTTTGGGGGTCGAACAACCCTTTCACAGGGGTCATCTAAGACAATCGGAAAACACATATATAATTACATATTGTTTTTGTGATTAATCACTATGCTTTAATTACGTTCAATTTGTAACAATGAAAATACATCCTGCATATCAGATATTTACATTACGATTCATAACAGTAGCAAAATTACAGTTATGAAGTAGCAATGAAAATAATTTTATGGTTGGGGGTCACCACAACATGAGGAACTGTATTAAAGGGTCATGGCATTAGGAAAGTTGAGAACCACTGGTATAGATGGAGATGCTGGACAAAGTGATGATTCATGCCCTGGGTGGGATGGAGTGGGAGAGTGAAGATTTCATCACACACTCAGAATAGCACCCAATTGAAAACTTACCAATTATTTCTTTCTGGAATTTTCCATTTAATACTGTCATGCCATGGTTGAACACAGGTAACTGAAACCAAGAAAAGGATAATTGTGGAAAGAAACCACAAATAAGGTGGAGGGAACTACTCTATTCTTTATCAAGTTAAGGAAATTCCCCTCTATTCCTACTTTGTTGAGAGATTTTATCATAAATGAGTGCTACATTTTCTATAAATATTTTTTCTGCATCTATTCATAGGATCATATGACTTTTCTTCTTTAGCCTACTGAGGTGATGGATTACATTCATTGATTTCAAATGTTGAACCAGCCTTGCATAGCTTCAATAAATCTTATTTGGTTGTGCTATATATTTTTTATACATTATTGGATTTGATTTGCTAATATTTTGTTGAGGAGGAATAGATTTTTAAGCAACGCTAAAACAAATATTATTTTACAGTAATCCACTTGGAGTCATGCAAAACATTCTTTCTTTTTAAACATTCTTTGCATAGGAAAATTATTAAACAGGCATGTTAACTGGGGCTATATATTTAAAAATACAAAGTAAATGGGTTGTGTTTAAATGATATCTATATATCTTTTTGTATTTTCCCCCCTCTCCACCTAGAGCTTGTCTCTCCATGAGCTATACCTGAAATCCCTGCTCAATTCTTTCAGTTTCTAGTTGCCACTTTTCCACTGGGCACTTTGTGGTCTCCCACACTGATGCATCTTCAATGGTTAGACCAGAATCTGCGCAGGGTTTCTATGCATATTTGGAGACTCACCACCTCCGTAGCTCCCTTCCTTCTAGGGTCCCTACTTGCTTCCCACTTGCTCTTCTAGTTCTGACCTCTGTATTCTTGATCCCACCATCCAGTGAAGCTGAAACTTCATCCTGAGCCACCTAGTGGGTTGGTGAGCATCTCCGAGCAAACACTGCAAACTAAAAAATTACCATAGTGTATTTCCAATCTTTTAAGTGTAGACTCCTCTCCGATTTCTGCCTGCTTTCCATCTCTGTTCAATGTGTTCAAAGAGTCAATCTGCAATATTTTTATATATATTTTACCATTATTTTCTATGGGAAGGTTAGTCCAACTAAGTTCTACCACCATTACCAAAAGCCAGATTTCCCAGTGTTACTATTTTGCTCCATTCTGAAATCACGCTCCTGTCTCCATCCATTTTTGTTGGTGGTGGTGGTGGTAGTGGTAGAACAAGGATTTTGTTCAAATGTCCATCCTCCTCCCACATACCTCTGGGAATAAATCCTGATTAATCTATGTCAGTGCTGTAACTCATTTCCCTTGCATCAATGATATGTTTAGGAAGGGTCACCAGTCAGGGAACCAGAAACTACTCTTTAGAGTCAGGATATACAGGATTTTTAAATAAGAAATTGGTGGCTTATCCAGAGAAAAGGCCTAAGGTAGCAATGGTCAGAAAAATCACCATTGACCTTCTCAACTGGAAGCGCTGAAGCAAGCTGTTATCAAAACTCACCTTGAAGTTCCTAGGAGTGTCACATCCACTCATGATTTTGGCTCCAATTAACTAGAGAATAATGATCTCTCCAGCAGACTGGCTCAAGGGTGTCTCTCATCAACACACTCTAGCCTGAAACCACACGACAAAGGGAATTCTGGCAAAAGCTCCTAGCTTTTCCTCTTCAAAGCAAAGGAGACCTTAGAAGGGGTAGTGGTGATGCCAACTCAACACTGATAATCTAGCACAGGGCATGTGACCCAAATTAGCCAAGGGCTCAGGAGGGGAAGCAGCTGGAGAGCCTCTGAAGATTTATTTGCTGATAAACTAAATAAAACAAAGACTCACAGGAACAGTCTCTCTTCTTCTTCCACTGGATTTTCCTTCCATGTGACTCTTGGAACCAAATCATGAATCTTGTGATCATGAGAGGAGCCCACTGAGATGGAGGCAAACACAGTCTGAAGCCTGTCCAATCTGGACTTATTATGTGAGAATAAGTGCTATTACTTAAGTCATTTTCAATAGTTCTTTTTTCAAGTACAGCATATTATTTAGATCATGGAGGCTAAGCTCAGAAGAAGCCATTTAAAGGAGTGAAAGTAGGAGCCTTTAAGAAGTAAGAGTGGCCGAAACCAGTTTGGCTCGGTGGATAGAGCATCGGTCTGCGGACTGAAAGGTCCCAGGTTCGATTCTGGTCAAGGGCATGTACCTGGGTTGCGGGCACATCCCCAGCAGGAGATGTGCAGGAGGCAGCTGATCGATGTTCCTCTCTCATCGATGTTTCTAACTCTCTATCTCTCTCCCTTCCTCTCTGTAAAAAATCAATAAAATATATTAAAAAAAAAAAAAAAAAGAAGTAAGAGTGGGGATAATGAAATGTGGTGTTTATTCGCCTTTTGCTATTTTACATTGTCAAGATATATGCACTACTCAAATAAAAAATTAAATTAGAAAAGAGACAATCTGACAACTCAGTCCCATCCCCACAGCATGCTTTTCTTGATTTACTCTGACCTACAGTACAGAAAGAAATGGCAGCTAAATGCAACAGCTCTTCTTCACTCTTATTTCAGGCAATCACAATTCTAGCTGTCTCCTGAAGAGTTCCTAAGTGAAGCCCATCTTCTTCCCCTTGATCTACTATCTGTCATCAAAATAATCACTCCAAAAGGGCAAATATGATTGCATCCTCTTCTGCTTAAAATACTTACTTGGACTCAATGATCTCTACAAGACCCAATCCAAATTCCATAATATGGTACCCAAGGCTCTTCGTGATCTGGCCCCTGGCACTCTCTTATGTATATACTAGCGGCCCGGTGCACAAAAATTTGTGCACTCGGGGGAGAGGGGGGTCCCTCAGCCCGGCCTGTGCCCTCTCGCAGTCTGGGACCCCTTGGGAGATAACGACCTGCTGGCTTAGGCCTGCTCCCGGGTGGCAGAGGGCAGGCCCAATCCCTAGGTGCAGCCCCTGGTTGGGCTCAGAGCAGGGCCGATTGGGGAGTTGGGGCGCCGCCCCCTGTCATGCACAGAGCAGGGCGGATTGGGAGGTTGCTATGCCACCCTCAGTCACGCTCAGGGTAGGGCTGATTGGGGGGTTGGGGCACCGCGCCCTGTCACACTCAAGGCAGAGTCGATGGGGAGGTTGTGGCGCCACCCCCTGTCACGCACAGAGCAGGGTTGATCAGGGGGTTGGGGAGCTCCCCCCTGTCACACACAGAGCAGGGCCAATCAGGGGGTTGGGGCGCTGCCCCCTGTCATGCACAGAGCAGGGCCGATCAGGGGGTTGGGGAGCTCCCCCCTGTCACTCACAGAGTAGGCCCGATAGGGGAGTTGGCACACCGCCCCCTGTCACACACAGAGCAGGGCCGATCAGGGGGTTGGGGCGCCTTCCCCTGTCACACTGATCCCGGTGCCGGGAGGCCTCTCAGCTCCGCTGATCCCGGTGCTGGTAGGCATATTACCCTTTTACTATATAGAATAGAGGCCTGGTGCACGGGTGGGGGCCGGCTGGTTTGCCCTGAAGGGCATCCTGGATCAGGGTGGGGCTCCCCACTGGGGTGCCTGGCCAGTCTGGGTGAGGGGCTGAGGGCTGTTTTCAGGCTGGGACTGAAGCTCCCAACTGCTCCTTTTTTTCTTTTCTTTTTTTTATTCTGGGCCAGCTTTGGCTCTGGCTCCAGCTCTGAGGCCTCTGCTCCTGAAAGCAGGTATCTGGTTTGTTTCAGTTCTCGAAACTCTGTATCAACTCCAGCTCTGAGATCCCAGCTGGCTGAAAGCTGGTTTCTGGGGTTTTGTTTAGCTTCTATATTTGTTACAATGTTTGAAACTGCAGGCTCAGAGGCCTGCAGCGGCTGGGGGGGAATGTTGGAGTCCTCCGTCACTGAAGCAAGCAAGCCTCATGTTAGTTTCAAGCTGCTTGGCTGCCGGCCGCCATCTTGGCTGGCAGTTAATTTGCATATTGCCCTGATTAGCCAATGGGAAGGGTAGCGGTCGTACGCCAATTACCATGTTTCTCTTTTATTAGTGTATATTCCAGATATTCAGAAACTCTTGCTTTTCTCCATATACCACACTCCTTGGCACACACTGTTTCTTTGGTTTAGAATGTCCATTCTCACTAATCCCTTTTCAGCTACCTCTTCGGTAAAGATTTCTTACTCCCCTAGTCCTTCTACTATCTCTCCAGATACATATCAGGTACCTAAAGCCTCCATCAGCACAAATTACATTACATATCAAAAATTACTTACTGGAGTCTGAATTCCAGAAAAGTCTATGAAAACTAAAATATTTTTGGTAACTCATTTGATGGCAAAAATGGAATTGAACCACTTAGATTTGTAATTTGAATTATTCTACTTTGTATGAATGTTCATTTATTTTGTTGCAGAAATATTAATGGGTTTCATTACAGAGTGAAGCCTCAGACCCATATGTGGTATTATGCAGGTAAATGTAGCATATGCACCTGTGGCCCATTCCAAAAATGGCTACTGCAATATTTCTCATTCCACAAATTCTAGAACTTTCACTACTCATCAAGTGAGGTCTCTATCTCCTTGAAACTGGGAGTGATTTTATAACTGCCCAGATGAACAAAGCCAGCTTTTTTTTTTATGACTTTTTATGACTTGCAAGGCAAAGTCATAAAAGGTGGTAAGCCTGTTTTCCTTTCTTTCTCAAAATGCTTGCCCTGGGAACCCAGTCCCCATGTTCTGAGGAAGTTTGGCCACCTGGTGAGGCCATGTGCAGGTGTCCTGGCCCACATCTCCGGTGAGGTCTCAAACATCAGCCAGCATCAATCACCAGCCAGCATCAATCACCAACCAGCATCAACTGCCCGATGTGCAAGTAAGTGATGCCTTCAGGTGATGCCTGCGCTCAGCATTCAGGAGCCCCAATTGCTTCTGAATGGAGCAAAGATAAGCTGGTGCAAGCAAGCTCTACCCAAAATGCACATTTATTAGAAAAATTATTGTTTTGTTGTCTTAAGGCAAAAGGTATTGGGTTCTGCTGACATAAAACCTAAAATTTCATCATGTTAACTTTGCAAAAAATGCAAAAACCCATCAAAGGTTTTAGATAAGATATGTATACTCTACTTGTGCATCCATGTATCAATTATTCAACAGAATTAGAAGTTCTTTGAATACTTTGAGAACTAAGTCTTTTCGTATGATATTCTCAGAGCCAATGTCCAAGATTGGGTGAGCCTTCAAGGCCAGCCTATTGAATTAATGTTGAATGAATAAGTAAATAGTTATATTTTGAAAGACTATAGTTTTATTCTACTCATGACTGCTCAAAACTCACTTAGAATGACTTATTTTTATAATTATCTTCAGTTGATGAGCTATATAAAAATTTCATTAACTTTCCTATCTTTAACTGGGTGTTTCTGTTTGATTTTTCCCCTAGATCTGGCAACCCTAATTTATGACCATCAGTGAGAGGACTATCAACCGTAGGCTTGAAAATGGGAATTCTTAGGTATGTACTGAGTTACCCACGAACCATTTATCTAAAACACGAAAACACCAAAAAAGCGGTCTCTAAATCAGCAGGATGAGACAGAAGCAGTCTGGAGCATTAAGATGCTTAAGTAGCTAAAGTGTTCTATTGGTTTACTATAGACAGAGACCAAGTCAGTTTGTCCTTGAAGAGTCTATGGTTCTGTAGCCACATGGAAATTTACTTGTCAGCACACCTGTATAGATGGGCTCAAATATGTTCTCAGTTCCCGGAGAGTTGGGAATTTTAAAGCAAAGTGTTTATAGGAATGTTTAAAACTCAGAAAGATATCTGCATTGCCAAATTGAAGAAAAACATAGATCAAAGATCCCACAATAAAATGGAACTACACTACCTGGAAAACTTCAATCCTGATCATTCTCATAAAAAAGAAAAAAAGAAAAATAGGAATTTCACCCAAATTCTTCAGAAATGGAAACAATTGCAGTATCGTGTAACTTCATAAGATTAAATCATTATTCTAAAAGACAATGTGGAATATATTTACATTTTATTTGTTATATAACTATAAAACAGTTATATTAGTAAAAACTGTTAAAAGTACATAAATGGTTTGGGTCGATTTCTGGATTCTCTATTCTATCCCATTGGTCTATATGTCTGTTCTTGTGCCCTTACCAGGCAGTTTTTTGTTGTTGTTGTTTTTTGTTTTAAAAATATATTTTATTGATTTTTTACAGAGAGGAAGGGAGAGAGATAGAGAGTTAGAAACATCGATGAGAGAGAAACATCGATCAGCTGCCTCCTGCACACCACCCACTAGGGATGTGCCTGCAACCAAGGTACATGCCCTTGACCGGAATCGAACCTGGGACCCTTCAGTCCGCAGGCCGACACTCTATCCACTGAGCCAAACCGGTCAGGGCTACCAGGCAGTTTTGAGAACAGTGGCTTTGTAATACAGCTTGATATTGGTATTGTGATCCCTCCAACTTTGTTCTTCTTTCTCAGGATTGCTGTGGATATTCGGGGTCATTTTTTATTCCAGATGAATTTTTGGAGAGTTTGTTCTGGGTCTGTGAAATATGCCATTGGTATTTTAATTGGAATTGCATTGAACTTATAAATTGCTTTGGGTAGCATGGACATTTTAATGATGTTGATTCTACCAAACCATGAACACAGTATGTTCTTCCATCTGCTTATGTCTTCCTCTATCTTTTTTTTTCAGTGTCCTGTAGTTTTCTGAGTACAGGTCTTTTACCTCCTTAGTTAAGTTTATTCCTAGGTATCTTAATTTTTTTGGTGCGATGGTAAATGGGATTGTTTTTTAAATCTCTTTCTGTAAGTTCACTATTGGTGTATAAAAAAGCCATTGATTTCTTGGCGTTAATTTTGTATCCTGCTACATTGCCGAATTCATTTATTAAGTCTAATAATTTTTTGATGGAGTCTTTAGGGTTTTCTATGTACAGTATCATGTCATCTGCAAATAGCTGTGCTCACAGCTATTTCCTGTTGCCCCAGGGGTTTGGGAATTCCGGGGGTGTGGGGGGGCGGGAGGCTGGGTCAATGATGAGATTCCACCTGAATGAAAGCAGAGCTCTGAGAACAGAGCAGGGAAACAGAGAGAGGCACTTAGAGTACATCAGAGGAATGGGATGGGACAGGCTTTGGAGTGAAGCCCCAGGGAGCCACAGGTAAGACTGTCCTGCTTATACCTCCTCTGAACAAGTCCAAACATTGTTTCCCACTTTGAATTCTATGTTTGAAAGGAATGTTATTCTGCTAAAATGTGACATCATGGTTGTGATGGTTAAATGTTATGTGTCTAGCCCAGCCGGTGTGGCTCAGTGGTTGAGTGCTGACCCAAGCACCAAGAGGTGGCTGGTTCGATTACAGGTCAGGGCACATGCCCGGGTTGTGGGCTTGATCCCCAGTAGGGGGCATGTAGGAGGCAGCCAATCCATGTTTCTCTCTCATTGATGTTTCTATCTCTCTCTAAAATCAATAAAAACATATATATTTTTTAAAATGTTATATATCTACTTGACTGGCCATGGGACACCCAGATTAAATGTTATTTCAGATGCTGTTTCCAGATGAAATTAGCAGTTGGATTAGTAGACTTGGTAGATGGCCCTCCCCAATGTCGGTTGGCATCATCCAACCCGCTGTGGTCCAGAATAGAACAAAAGGGCAGGGGAAGGAGAAATTCACTGCCTTTGCTTCTTACCTGCCTGCTTGAGCTGGGACATCAGTCTTCTGCCCTTGGACTAGGACCAACACCATCCTCTTCCTTGGTCCTCAGGCCTTTTGACTCAGATTGGATTATACCAGCAGCTCTCCTGGGACTCCAGCTTGCAGATATAGGTTGTGGGACTTCTCAGCCTCTGTGAGAAAATTCCTCAAATGAATCTCTTTATCTATATCTATGTCTTTTCCTATGTCCATATCTATATTTACATCTCTCCTATTGGTTCTGTTTTCTGGAAACTTCATTCAAGACTAAAATCAAGTCCATTGAACATCATAGATGGAAATAAACTTATACTCACCCAACCTGGCACACACCCTCTCCCCAACACCCACATACCCATCTGAATTCCATTTCTCACTTTACATTTACTATTTAGAAGCGATGACCCATTTGAAGACAACAGCTCTTTCTCATTTTAGCAACTAACTAAACTATACAGTCCCTGAAGGCAGGAGCAGTATCTCAGAGATCTATATTTCCCACAGGGCCTAAACCCAGAAGCAAGTCCTCTGCACATAGGTGGGAGTTTCAGTTAATTAATGAATTCAATTTTCAAATTAAATACTAATATTTAAGAACACTAATTAATATTGCACTATTAAACTCAAAAATCAAAGAAAACTGAATGACATAGAGACTACCCTGCCTTTACAGTTCCCACCCAGAATCCTTTAGAATGAGACTGAAGTACAAGTCAGGACAGTGTAGAGCAGACTGCAGTCTTCAAGTTATTGATTTGGCCCCTTTCACCAGCATTAAATTAGCCATGATAAAATGAATGAAAGTCCTGTCAGCATGTTACACAGCAAAAAGAACAAATGAAATCACTTTTTATAAAAATACTCACCCGAGAATATGTTTTTAATGATTTTAGAGACAGAAGTAAGAAGAAAGAGAAACATTTATGTGAGAAACATTGATTGGTTGCTTCCCACCTCAACCAGGGATCTACCCCAAAACCTAGGAATCACACTGCAACCTTTGGTATACGGGAAGACGCTCCAACCGAGCCACTTGGCCAGAGCACCAATGAAATCATTTTGACAAAAATCTGTCTCTTTTCTATAGATCATCTGATCTTTATCCCAAACCTTCTTTGACATGATAAACCTAAGATTGACAACAGAAGCTATGAGACCCACACAAACTTAGATTATGTAGTCCACATTTTAGTCCAGAATGTGGACTAAATGTGTACTAGAATGTACTAGAATGCATTCCCTATAGAAATATTTTCTATAACTTTGACTAATTCTTTTCCAGTAAACTTCCTCTAAATGTTTTATAGTCTTTTCTGAAGAGCTTCTTCCAGCTAGACACATCTTAGATACCTGACAGTTTTTCTGAAACTTCTGTTTCAACTTGCCTTATTTAAATTTTGTCCCATTACTTCTGGTTAATCTCTTTTCCTGTCACTATATTGTAGATAGTGTTCATATTCCTTCTCAGGCATAATTTAACCATGCTTCACACATTAACTTGAGTAGACAGGATACGGTATAAATTACAGAAAGCAGAGATGTACAAAGACATTTTGTGGTGAATAAATTAAAGGATTAATTTCAGTCATATCAAACTAACACTTTTTAAAATTGTGGTTCCTGTGATTTTCAGGCCTGTTTCTAAAGTTTGTGGAATGGGGGAATTAAATGGAAGAGATTAGTTGAAAACTTCTACTTTTATTTCATAGGTTGGAGATCAGCCAGTGCCATGAATATTTAAAAGAGGAAACACATTTAAAAGAGAATTTAACACGGAGGCCTGCCTCAGACTTAAGATGCTGACAGTTACCTAGACAAACAGGTGAAGAAGACTGGCTTTAACAACTCCTCAGACATAATCACAACCATCTGGCACTTAAAAGAGTATTAGGCTACTGCTCACTGGGAAAGAACTTTATCCCCCCTCAAGCAATACCTGCAGCGTGGAACAATAAACCTGAACTGACTGAGGAAGCGAACATGTTTATACTGTAAAGGGGAGATTTAAAACAGGAGAACCTAACTCAAATTTAACCAAAATCTCTATGTGGAAAGGGAAACATTCCCATCACAGGCTCTCCTGGGATCCTGGGTTTCTGATTTCCACAGGAATACACACGGAACTGGAACCAAAATACACACACACACACACACACACAAAATCCTTTTTTTAAAGTAGTGAGACAAGAAAAAGGATCAAGTTTATCCTCATTCTCAGTTTTATTTTTCTCCATAAATGGATCATTTATACCATATTTTCATATTCATTTTGCTGATTGTCTATCTCCCCCCAGCTCCCTGCCTAGAATCCAAGTTCCACGAGGACAGAAATGTTTTGTCTTGTCCACTTCAGTATCTCAGGGGCCTAGAACACTGACTCATAGCAGGCAATTAATACACACTGAAGGAATTAACTTACTTGGCACTGACTTCTCTATTTAAAGACTCAAACAGAAAGATAACATAAACACTTCTCTGCTAAAAAGAGCTAGACCTCCCCCCTCCAAATTGTTATATTATTAGAAGTCTTTGCATTACTAAAGGTAGGTTTTGAGATAGTATTAACCCTTAAAATATAACCCATGGAGCATCTCAAATCTGACCATCTAATTAAAGGTGCTAAAGATGAAGCTCCATCAGGGCAGAGGCAATGACCCGATTTCCTATCGATATCAGCTTGTGACATGGGCCTGGTGTGGGGCAACAAGTAAGAGACAATTGGAAAAGTCGACTGTGCTAGCCACCCACCTAGGCACTTACATGCATTCATTCACTCACTTACTTTTTATAATCATTCCATGTGAGAGGTACATTATGATCCCTCGTTTTCAGATAAAAAAAAAGGCATAAGTGAATAAATAACTGTTAGCAATGTATTGTCTCTCAGCTCCAAACCCACCCCTCTTTGCCCTTTGTACTCGGGAGCAGGCGGGATGTTAGGCTATGTCAGAGAGCACCAGAGGGACACTGCAAGGCTGCATCCCCAGGAAGACCCTCCGTTACAGGTTCTGACCCTCCAAGGTCTTTATACAACGCGGGAGCCCAGAGGCCAGCTTGGGGGAGTCCCAGCTACACCTTTGGCCACACTGATTACTGCTTCTGCAGACCAACTCTGGCCCCATTTCTTGAAAGTCTTTTGCTACCAGCAGGCTACATGTCCTTCTAGTAGCCACAGCTCCTCTGAAAAGGACTGAATCCCAGCCATGGGATAGGGGGTGGACCCTCCCCTCGTCCTTAGCTCCTTTATTGTCCCTTCTCCCTCAGCCAAGAGGTAGAGGCGCTATTCTATGCCTCTGTACCCCTTAGACACCTTTACCCCTTTTAGCACTTTTACCCCTTTCTACTAGTTAACAATTCTTTATATTAATCGTCCCTGGATATAGTTCTGGGAGGGTAACACTTATATCTGTCCCTGAATTGCCCAAGATTGTGCCAGTAGGAAGCAATCATGCTGGACTTCAAACCTGGGAAGTCTGATACCAGAGGACACACTCCAAACTACGATGCTACACTGTCTTAAATATTTGGGATAAAATCCAGGCTAACTTCCCCTATGCCCTGGATGCCTCTAATGGCACAGGAAGTACTCACCTACCTAGGAATTTCATTTATTGGCAAAAAATGTGAATTTTGATAGGTAAGATACTCAATTTCATCTTCTCAAGTATGGCATGGAGTAATACTACTAAATTTTAGTATTTCAAATCACTTTTACATGCAGGATTTCACCAAAAGAGCTTTGTAGAATTGATAAGGCATGCTATTATTTTTACAAATAAAGAAACTGACACCCACAGATATTAAAATTTTGACTGAGTAGTTTCACTCTTTCTAAACTCCCAGCCAGGATTTGTCTATAATATAACTATCTTGCCTTGAGATTTAGTTACTTTGGAGGCAATATGACTAGGAGACTTAAACATGGATCTCCAAAACACCCACATCCTAATCCTTAGAGCCTGTGATATGACCTTATATGGAAAAGGGTCATTGTGGATGTGATTAAATTAAGGATCTTGAGATGGGGAGATTATTCTGGATAATCAAGTGGGCCCTAAATGACATTGTAAGAGTTCTTATAAGAGAGGCAGAGGGAGACTTCACACGCATAGAGGAGGGGTATTGTGAAGAAAGAGGCAGAGACTGGAGTGATGTGGCCACAAGCCAAGGAATGATTGCAGCCTCCAGAAGCTAAATGAAGCAAGGCACAGAAAGAGGCAAGGAACAAATTCTTCTCTAGAGCCTCTGGAGATAGCACAGTTCTGCTACCACCTTGATTTTAGCCCAGTGACAGTGGCCTCTGACTTCTAGAACTGTGAGAGAATAAATTTATATTGTTTTGAACCACCAAGTTTGTGGTAATTTGTTATGGAAGCCTTAGGATACTATTACACTGACAAATTCAAGTTAAAAAAAAAAGTATGCAGAAGATGGCGGCATAGGTAAACACCGGAAATTGCTGCCTCGCATAACTACTTCAAAAATACAACTAAAAGACAAAACTGACATCATTCAGAACCACAGGAAGGCTGGCTGAGAGGAAATTCTACAACTAGAAGGAAAGAGAAAAGCACACTGAGACTCAGAGGAGGTGCAGAAGTAAAGTGCAGAGGTGCAGAGGTACAGAGGCTCGAGCGCACACGGAAAGGGGCTGGCAACTGAGGACATGGTTGTCTTTTTCAATCGGGAGGGAGTCTCAAGCTCCCGACTGCTCTGAACATCCGAATTATTGGGGTGCCAGAAGAAGAGAGAGAGCAAGATATTGAAAACCTATTTGAAGAAATAATGACAGAAAACTTCCCCCACCTGGTGAAAGAAATAGACTTACAAGTCCAGGAAGTGCAGAGAACCCCAAACAAAAGGAATCCAAAGAGGACCACACCAAGACACATCATAATTAAAATGCCAAGAGCAAAAGACAAAGAGAGAATCTTAAAAGCAGCAAGAGAAAAACAGTTAGTTACCTACAAGGGAGTACCCATACAACTGTCAGCTGATTTCTCAACAGAAACTATGCAGGCCAGAAGGGAGTGGCAAGAAATATTCAAAGTGATGAATACCAAGAACCTACAACCAAGATTACTTTATCCAGCAAAGCTATCATTCAGAATTGAAGGTCAGATAAAGAGCTTCAAAGATAAGAAAAAGCTAA